TAACCAAACACATCCCTTGTACCAATCCGGGTTGCGGTGCCCTCATTCCGCCGGCTGCATTAGACACCGTAAGCCATTCCGTTATCGTCGTTTCGTGCTGATCGGTACATACACAGATTTCGTTCCCAGCAATGATTATCTCGGATGTTTCGCCTCCTCGCGCACTCTACGCGGCTCTTCATGCCCGTTGTCCCGCTTGTACTCAAAATCATTGTCGAGGTTGTGGGCAGCCGACGGGATGTGCCGCAAATTGCTGTGCACCCATTCCCTCCTCGCCAGCAGCTTCGCCGGCCCGTCGTCTCATCACATACCCAACTGCTTCCTCTCCGCGAACACATTACGACGAGCCGTATCCACCGCCGCCATGTATAGTGCCAACTCACTGTCCTGCCGTGCGTGCGTTGGGAGCAGCGGCAGCCCTCCTTGCCTTCGACCGCGCACACAACGCAATCCACCAACATGGGCGGACTGCAGACAAACCCCTTCTTGGGCCTCTGCATGCGCTGGCGTTTTTCATCGCCCCACCACCGCAGCCCGCCGGCACGCCTCGTGCGTCAGGATCAGGACTCTTGATGTCTTCCGAAGGGCACGAAGACGGTGGTGCTATTCCAGAAGCAGATGCAGGCCTTGCCGCGCTAGTCCGACTTTCTCGTGTTCCGGCATACGCTGCAAGCCTCCTCCGCGCCGAGGCAGACGTCGGTCGCTGGATCGATCGTGCGCCGGCTTACGGGGCTATTCTCCGCGTTCTGCGTGTCCTTGGGGACGTACCTGGCTGCCGTACCGTGCTGCTTCGACCGATTCCCGTGCACAGTGCGTCCGGTTCTGCAGTCGAGTGGTGGTTCCGCAGCGGAGACGTTAACGTTCCCACTGGGCGAAACGGAGGCGCAGAAAGACAGATCCAGCCGCAGACGCTGAAAGGACTGATTCGACGGCTGGAAGGCGCTCGGGCGGCGCTTTTGCGGCTAGCGGGGGCATTGGAGTTTGGACCGACGGTGCAGCAGGCGCATGCTCTGTGTGATGGGGTGCTGTATCTCTTGTTGCAGGATGTATTGGGGAACGATGAAGGCGTGTATTAGAGTTTTGTGTGTGTGTGTTGTATACGTGTTGTACTAGTGGAGTTAATTTGCTGTATCTACCGTCCTGTCCAAGATAAGATAGCGAATTCCTCGGCGTATGCTGCTTTGTAGACTCTCCAGAAATATAGATGCAGTGAAGACCGTCGAAGACAGAACTTGAACGTGCAGACGATGACGATCCTCGGCTAAACTCCAGACTGACCGGTACTGACCAGTGACGGTATGATGACGTTGAGCATGAGCGGCGAACATCGAGTAGAAGCAGAAAGACGCCATGAACATACAGTAAGGAAAAACAGGGATGTAAATGGATCAAAAAAACTGGTGGCCGATCAGAACATGTTATCTTGTAACTACGAGGGTTGCATGAGCATGAGGCCCATGGCCCAGGCCTGTACGTCCTATGTACCCAATTAGGACATAGGCTTGTTTTGATGGAGTGACCAAGTGTGACCCAGGCCCAAGCCACTCACTCCACCTCATAAACTCGTCGACGCGACCTTCGAAACCGCCGCCACGGCTTGCAGGCGCTCGCCCGAAGGCCTCTGCCTTCCCACTCATCTGCTCGCTCTTCCCGCTATATAAGATGGATCTGGGCTACAACTTGTCGACGCCAAGGGACAGCTAGCAGCAAGCGACCCGCAATCGTATCTTACGATGGCTGGGTCTTGCGTGACGTTCATGTTCCCGAGACGTTGACCTCGATGCCGTATGAGGTCTGTCTTTCCGGCCCTATTTCTGCTTCCACCAAGTGCGTCGTTATTCACATCTCTCGTCGCATCGCTGACCATTTCAACAGTATTGCTCACTCCCTACTGTCCCCAACAACGTGTTACCACAGCAAGATCGTCGATACCCACCTGCTCACTCGCTCCGGTCGAAGCTCGCACATCCTGCTGCAACCCTGGGCTCGTCCAATGCCATAACCGCCAACAAGCGCGCCACCACTCGCGCAATTTCTGTACAACGCTGGTGGGTGGGTTCTGCGGACGTCCTGTGTCCGTCTCCGGACACAGGACGTCGACCTCGATGCGTGCCTTACGCATCGAGGTCTCGCACAGCTCATATGTGTGCTCTCCGTGGTCCTCTGGTGCGTCTTCACATACTCACATTTGTATCTGCTCCTAACGAACTCACAGGTGACAACAGCACGCCGCACAATGTACACCAGTCATGACGATTGACCAAGCCGAATCGATTCACGGTGACGCAGGGTTACAATCGAGTCGACCAACAACCCCAACTCCCGCTCCCATTCCCATTGTTCCCGTGCGCATCGCATTCCAGCAAACCACTCTGCCCACAGCCCGATCCCCATCCCATCTCCCTGCTTCATCCCAGTCTCAGCCAGATCCCGACGCCACCAAACGCTGCGCGTGTTGCGCATTTGCGTATTGTCCACGACGGCATGACTGCCCTGGGCGAGGTGATCGCCGTAAATGCCATTCAGCGGATGCGGCACACGGCATCCCCGCCAACAGGAAGTGTCGATGGTCAGAGGAGAAGATCTTGAAGGAGATCGCGCGTCGAAAAGCAACGAGTACGACGGGTTCCGGAACGGGATAGAAGTTGGCGTCGTTCGACGCGTCAACAACGAGCGCTGACTTGTTGCGCGAATGTGAAGGCAGTTGTGCAGACGATGGCGGCGGATCGTAGATAGTTGCAGTAGCGCAAATGTATATTTGGGACTGAATCTGGGATTTTGCGAGATAATTAGCTCAGAGTAATGATACACGAGCGGCGAGGATGGTGCGGGGGTGCGTCCTGCAGGTGGGGAGGGAGATTTCGGGGCTAATTGTTGGTTTATTGAATGTGAGGAATACTGTGGGGATGTCTTGGGGGCGCCATATTTCGCATAGCGATTTGACAGCTTGGTCTAGGGTGATTTGGTACGAGGAAAGTGGGCGGCAGAAGAGCGACATACCGACTAGGCCGGTAACATATTTGTTCTTGGAGTCTCTCGACTCCTTGGGAAGTTGCGGCATAGAGGAGTGGGCCTTTAGACGCTCCGTTTCGCATAATGGGGTTGGGTTTGGGGATGGTGGTACAGAGTGGCCGGGGTCAAGGAGGAAGAGCGGGGGAGAGGAGGAGGTCGACGGCGTGTAAACGTCGAGGAACGCGAGCTGAGGTCGTCGGCAGACTCGTCGCGACGGTCGCGTAGATGGCGAGGGTAACAATTGTGACTCGGCATTCAATGCCGACGGTGCTTCTTGAAAAGACCCTTGTCTATAACGGGCAATCAGCCCCGTATAGACTTGGGTCTTGAAAACAAATCAGGCAACTGTAATCAACTTGAAAACCTTGGGTCGTTCGATTGCTTATAGGCTGTAAAATGTGTGAATGCTCAAGATTTTCACTCAGAATATACAGGAAGTCATCCTGAAATGTATTCTATCCTTCTCTTTCCCTCCCCTCTCCTCCTTCTTGAAAAACTTGATTTCGGCCGCATCACGTACAGACATAGGACATGGGCCTTGCATGAGGCTTCCAGTCTGTCCCTACTCCTTCCGTCTCTTCCGCCATGGCGCAACCGTCCTCTCCTCTCCCTGCGTCGTCCTGTTCGTCGACCTTGGTTCTGACGCCACCACCTCTTGAGTTCACCGGAAACGGTCTTCTTGGCCATGGACTAGCGCCAAAAGGTCCTCTGCAGCCACACATCTCCAATCTCCCTCGACGCAAACCAAGAGCTCTGCCCGTCGTAGTTAACTCCCCGAGGAAGAGCAGAACGAAAGGCGTATCGATGATGGAATACGTGCCGCCGACTTTGCGCATCACAGCGGCGGGTGTTGGCAGGGACTCTGGCTTTGGCTCCGACTCGGACTCGGACTCGCATTCCTCGTCAGAGTCGACGAAATCGCAGTTTGCGGTCAGTCCGATTGCCATCCCGAGCCTGCCGCCAATTCTGGCGCGAGCAGGGGCCGTGTTGCCAACACCCAGAGGTGTACTCGGAAAGTCGAGCTCCGTTCAGCGCCTTGGTCGATCGTCTGGGGTGTTTCTCTCGCTCGGTGAAGACGATGCGGTACTATCTGACGTCGATACCATTGTCCGAATCCTGCCAGGGTCCTCTACGCCCTCCAGCACTGGATCGGACTCGGATACGCACACCCTATGTTTGGGGACCACTTCCGCTCCACGAGACGACGGTCTCCCAACGTTACAGCCCGCACAACTAGACGCCGTCTGTTCGTTCGTCCAAAGACAACGACGGATAGCCGTGGTCGCGCCGAGCCCAGAATACGCTGCAGACGCATTCAGTGTTGGGCTCTGTGCGTACTACAACGCCGTTCCTGCTCCCGACCGCGATGGCGTGGATTGGGAAATGAGCGTAGATGCAGACCCGGGCGCTACGCGCCTACATCGACTCGTGTGGAAATGGCATGATTTACCAGAGGACTCGAGTGGTGCGCTTGCAAGTCAATGGCGCGGCTTGCTGAGCCGCGATGGGCTGGATATCGTTGCTACAGTCCTCGAGGAGCAGCCGCCTCGAACGCAACTTAGAGAGAGATCTATTGGACATGGACAGACTAATCGATACCTCCCCGGTGTACCCATAGTTGACTTCAGATTGTATTACTAGTATAGCCGTTTGTATCTTGGGTTTACATACACTAGAGAATCCATATTCATGTGCTTTGCTTCCAATTGGGACGACGCGTCCAGCATGAAAACAATATTACACGTGATCGTTCCGCGCTAACTTCGCGATGAGTGTTCAGCTTAATAGCTAGCGTTAGGGATAGAGCTGCTGTGTCCCATTTCGCCGTTCATTGTAGACCTGGCTAAGGGCGGGTATGTACAAAGTTCGCACCAAAAGAAAATGATCTTTCGCGCAAAAAATGAAAGGAAAACGACGAGAGCCTTCGAAAATTTAACGAAACGACCTACGCGATAGGGATGCTGCTTAGAAGGCCTTCAAAAAAGGTCTGGACAACAGCGGAATCGAACCGCTCACCTTTCGCAACGATTTTACACCGTTCAAACGGTCTTTGCGAAGCGAACGTGATAACCAACTACACCAGATGCCCTAGAAGGAGCCGAGAAATCTAGCTGTGGTAGTCTGCTAATGAATCCAGTTTGAATGGAGTCGATTGAGTCAAAATTGAGCGAAGGAGAAGACGATTTGATGGATCTGATGTTGAGGACCTCTTGCTCTTAACCGCCACACATTCGACGTTCATGCATGCACGCGGATGACTCAATCGTGCATTTCGAAGCCCTGGAGCATTACTTTCAAGTTCTCGCGGTCGTCCTGGAACCCTTGATCTACAATCTCAACTCTGCTCCTCTCGACGTCAAGTTAACGTTCCAATTCAATGCCTATTCAACAACGCCCAGCTCCACAACCTTATACACCTATCCAAGCTGCGCTGTCCAAGAATCTTTAGCTCAAGATCCCATCTTTATACAAAATGTAACAGCTTTCCCGAGTGCAACAGGGGAAGCTGTTGCACTGGGAAGGCTGTTGAATTTCGCACAAATATGCCAATGTCCCCAAGCCTGCGAAATGAATGAGTCGACACAGTATGTCTGCCATATTTGATTGTGGATGGAGGGTTACAGCGTGATCTTCGCGCGCCTCTCCCTTCTGTACCACGACCGGGTGGGCGCTACAAACGCACTATCTTTCTTGGCACCGCGGATCCGACTTGTGAGAGAACAGCCACAGCCAGACTAACGGAATTCTCTGACAATCCTCGTCTGTCACCTAAAATTAACTGGTATCAAGTCTAGGGTTCGTGGGGGCTCAGCAAAAGAGGCGCTCATTAGTACTCGTCGAATAACATACTCCAGCGAGAGGAACGAGTGTTTCTTGGACTCATCGCGCCTCGCACCCTGCCTAGAGTGTCCTGCCTAGAGTGTCCTGGGCTTCAAGCTTCAAGTTCTACGTGCACTTGCTCCGTTCAAACTTTGGGACGAGCGCGAAGTCGATTCCGAGTCTTGGTCCTCAACAGCAGCTTGACATTGTGGCGCATTCAAGCGCTCAAGCTCTGTAAGGATAGCCTTGCGTGAAAATGGTATATAACGGAGTCTCGTTCTCACTCTCTAACTGGCCTTCTTCAGCTGTTTCTACATGGCAAACTCGAACGTGCATAAGAGTCTTACAACCGAGAAATTTTATCTCGTCACTGGGGGTGCTGGATTCATTGTGAGTGTTTCGTTACCGTTCCATTCTACTTGTTGACCTGCACCTCCGATAGGGCTCTGCTGTCGTTAAGCGCCTTCACGATGAGGGCCATCGCATCCGTGTAGTCGGCACCGTCGCGCGCCCCTCCACAGGCTACTTCACGGAATATATCAAGGGCGACCTCCGAGATTCTGCGTGCTGCAAAGCCATCATGCAAGACGTCGGCACGGTACTCCATTTCGCCGCTAACATGGGCGGCATGGGCGTTATCCACACGAACAATGACTTCGACATCTATCGCGACAACAGCACCATGACTCTGAACGTCCTCGAAGCCGCTGTTGGCGCCGGCGTAGAACGCTTCCTTTATGCATCTTCTGCGTGTGTATATCCCGATCATCTTCCCAACGTCCGCGACGACAAGGACATCCAGCTTTCGGAAACGGACGTGTTCTCCTGCGGAAATCCTTCTCCGCAGGGACTGTATGGACTCGAAAAGCTTGTCGGCGAGATGCTACTTCAACGGTATGCTAACAAACTTGCCATGCGTATCGCCCGACTCCACAACATTTACGGTCCCGGGGACCGTTGGAACGACGGACGCGAGAAGGTCCCTGCTGCGCTCGCTCGCAAGGCCGTCGCCGCCAAACGACTCCAAGATGCCTCGGGTTTCGAGATCTGGGGGGACGGATCTCAGCGCCGCAGTTTTCTATACATCGACGACTGCGTTGATGGTCTCCTACGGCTCCTCCGGTCTTCCTACACTGGGCCAGTGAACATCGGGTCGGACCAGTCGGTTTCCATCCTGGAACTGGCCGAGCTTGCTTTGGGTGCGGCGGGGCTTGCCCCGTTTTCTAAGCTCTTCGCATTCGACACCGACAAACCTGTGGGTGTTCAATCCCGCAACTCGGATAACCGTCTCGTCAAAGAGGTACTGGATTGGGAACCCCGAACGACTTTGAAACAAGGCATCGAGCGCACAGTCAGCTGGATAGACGCACAAGTCGAGAAGCTCATTGGCACTCAAGATGACCCTCGCAGCTTCCTGCGCGGCCTGCAAAAAAGCGCCGTCATACAACTTAACGGCAACGTATTGCAGTTCGGGGTTCTACTTCCTATCACTTCTCGAGGTCCTCAGTCTCCGGATGACTGCCTCAAACATCTCCGAAGATTCGCAGCATCCCTCTACTCGACGACCTGGCGCGACGTTCGCTCCGGCTTTCATCTAAAGATCTACCTTGCCATCGACGACGACGATGACTTCCTGTCTGAAGGTATTTCCCAAAACTCGACATACTTATCGAGTCTAACCCAATTTCCAGGTGAAAAAGCCGAGACCGTTTTGCGAGATGAAGGCATTTGGGATATAACTCGCCTCGTGTGCAGCTTTCCGCACGGACATGTATGCAGCCCGTGGCGGGAGTGTGCGACTGCGGCATGGAAAGACGGTTGTGACTATATGGCCCTGTTCGGGGATGACGTCGAGCTGCTGGACGAAGGCTGGCTTCGCGGCATTCATAAGGTTTTTCAAGATCTCTCGCGGGATTCAAACTGTCCGCCCGGATTTGGATGTGTCGCGTTCACCGACATCTCGTTCCCCGGAATGCCCACATTCCCCGTAATTCATCGCACACACATGGATATTTTCGACGGGAACGTCATTCCCTCTGCGCTCGTCAGCCAGGACGGAGATCCGTTCTTGTTCCAGCTCTATCATCAATTCGGCAGCTCTCAAATGGCGTCTTTCAGACTCCGGACTGCAGTTGGCGGAAGCGCCGATGCGCGATACACAAAGCAACATCTTCAAGAGTGGACCTACAACGTGCTGAATACGGCCACAACAGCGGTCGAGTTCTGGTTAGACTCCCAAGCCAAGTCTGGGGTCAAGAAAAAGTGCAAGTGGAACGAAGGGAACTTGAACGGCTACTCGTTGTCGGACGGCAACGGTTTTATTGACTCGCGGGGCCAGTAGCCCAGATATTACAAGCGAAAGAACAGCCGCGATGGACTTTGATTGTATGTATTGTGGATTTTGGTCGTTTTCGCAAGTAATTAACGCGAACACGTGATATCAAAGATGGTAGGATACAGAAGGATACAGACGCGTTAAACTCCTGTAATATCGTAAAAACATTACTATACGGCTTTCAAATACGCAGGCCCATTACCTCCTTGCCCGGATTCTTATCGCTGACTTGAACTCCTCGGCGGCATCCTGCGCCCCATCTCCCCGGCCCCTTATAGTTTTTGGGTGCGTCGCGCTGCAGAAACACGTTAGCTGGAACGGGAAGAAGAAACGCGACGCACAAAAGTAACAAAACGAGACAAACGAGAAACATAGCGCGGCGATAACCTAAGCGTAGTTCGTATTCAACTTCATCGTGCCCATCTTGACAACGATTCAGGCTGGCGCATCCGCGTCGCTTTTACAGCAATCAAGACTGAAGCAGAGTTAGAATACCTCAGACTACAACACAAGATCCAAAAGAAATTCGATAGAAGTACGTTGGACATTACTGTTCCCACACCAGCAAGGTCGACTGACATCTCTCCCCACCCAATGACGCTAGAGCCGTAAAATCTCTTGTTCCTTTCGCTTTGAAACCCAATTTCTTGTACCAAGTGACCTAGAACAGATCATTCAATAGTCATTTGATCGGGGGGAAACGTATGTACATTACTTTCAGTCATGGCGTTCAAGAAAAGTGGGACACCATCCACTTCAGCCTACAGGAATAGAATCGATTTAGATTTGAACAGCATGAGATGGGATGTCAGAGACCTTCTCGCACAATGCTTTCACAAGGGCCGTCCCAACGCCTTGGCCCTGTCGTGCTGGATCGGTAGCGATCTTGACAGCGTACCACGATTGCAAGATGCGCTAAATGATTTCAGTACTGCATATTCACTCAGACAGAGTGGAATCATTGAGGCACATCAGATCCAACGGTATCGTCCTTAAACTTTCGGGAATTTTGTATGAACTATGAAGGGCTGGTCAGCGATAAATATGCTTCTAGTTTCAGACATACGTCCGCCCACCAGTGCTTCATCTCTTCCGTGTACTTGGCGGCCACTGCGTCGAATCCGAGCGCACGCTGGGCCTCACTAGTATGATTCAGTCTCGTCAACTAATCGGATCGCAAGTAGCAAAACCCACGTCACGTAGAGATCATTCCCAGGTCCGAAGGCCAGAGCAACTCCCAGGACATCCACCGACACAGAATAGTCGACAGCCAGCAAGACACACCCTTCGAGAAACCCGGCTCTGGAGATAGCTTGCGTGTCTTCGCGTGCAAGTGCTGGGTTGCCTCCTCCAGACATGGATTGTACAGCAACATCTGCTGAAGAATGACATTGCGTTCACCAGAAGACCTTGACTTGCCACATACCCGCGGCGAAAGCCTTCAAGATTATCTCGACGACCTGATCAAACTGTGCATCTAGTATCGTATGCAAGTTGTTGAAAGTCGAGGCCGGCCAAGGAGCGCACCTGTTGGTTCTTGGACGCGGATTACTTCAACCGGCATAGCTGTATACTAGTAGTACGAGTCAGAGGCGGCGCGGGTGTCGAGCAGCTCGATTGAACGAAGAGAATCTTTTTCGGGCAACAACGCTTCGACTGGTTCGCGGGACGAGTAAGGAAGGACCCAGAGAAGACAAGTCGCAAGAACAGTCGCGAGAGCCTTGTGTTAGGAGACCGATGCCAGTTCTGGACATGTGTCCGCGGACATTCTCGCGGACACGGACATCTCCTGCAGGAAGAGTATTCGACCTGTAGGAGGAGTATCCGACCTGTAGGAAGAGTATCCGACCTGTAGGAAGAGTATCCGACCTGTAGGAAGAGTATCCGACCTGTAGGAAGAGTATCCGACCCATAGGAAGGATATACTACGAACC